GAGGGCCGCGTCAGCAGGGGGGCCGCGACAGCAGGGGGGGCGCGCCAGCATGGGGCCGCGTCAGCAGGGGTCGCGCCAGCAGGGGGCCGCATCAGCAGGGGACCGCGTCAGCAGGGGCCACGTCAGTAGTGGCCGCGTCAGCAGTGGCCGCGACTGCAGGGGGCCGCGTCAGGTGGGGCCGCTCCAGAAGGGGGCCGCTTCAGTAGGGGTCGCGCCAGCAGGGGGCTGCGCCAGCAGCAGGGGCCACGACAGGCTAGGGCCGCGACGGCAGTAGGGGCCGCGTCGGCAGTAGGGGCCGCGACGGGCTAGGGGCCGCGACGGGCTAGGGGCCGCGACGGGCTAGGGGCCGCGACGGGCTAGGGGCCGCGACGGGCTAGGGGCCGCGACGGGCTAGGGGCCGCGACGGGCTAGGGGCCGCGACGGGCAAGGGGCCGCGACGGGCTAGGGGCCGCGACGGGCTAGGGGCCGCGACGGGCAAGGGGCCGCGACTGGCTAGGGGCCGCGACGGGCTAGGGGCCGCGACGGGCAAGGGGCCGCGACGGGCTAGGGGCCGCAACGGGCTAGGGGCCGCGACAGGCTAGGGGCCACAAGGGCTAGGGGCCGCGACTGGCTAGGGCGCGATGCGCGCTTCGGGCAGGGCAGGAAAAAAAAATTCGTGGTGGGCCCTTAAAAAAAAAAAAACGTTCCCACTAGGGAACCTGCTCAGAATACCATGTTAGAATGTGAGCGAATGAATGACTGAACTAGAAATCAGGTGGGTACATAAAGGAAACCTAAAAGTGTTGTACCCTGTAAGAACTACCCCATTACAGCCTAAACAGACTATAGCATATAAGTTTGACACTTTCGGCGCTGTATTTATGTATATTTGTGTATATATACGTATATTTGGGTATATTTGTATATACACATGTATATATGTGTATATTTGTGTGTATATATATGGATATTTATGTATATTTGTGTATATTTGTATACATGTGTATATATGTGTTTATTTGTACTAGGTAGAGTTGAAACGCTCATATCTTGCAAAATACGTGGAATGCAATGGAATGACATGGCAGGTAAGTAAATAGTAGTCTAATCCAATGAACTAACCTTAAACAAAGGGCATCCAATTCGGATGTCCAATCCAAGTGATGCACTGACCAGTTTGGTCGGTATGCGCATATGTAGGGAGCGGTAGAGTTGAAACGCTTATATCTTACAAAATATGTGGAATGCAATGGAATGACATGGCAGGTAGGTAGAAAATAGTATAATCTAATGAACTAATCTAAAGAAAGGGCATCCAATTCGGATGTCCTGTCAAAGTGATGCACTGACCAGTTTGGTCGGTATGCGCATATGTAGGGAGCGTACCAGATAGAGTTGAAACGCTCATATCTTGCAAAATATGTGGAATGCAATGGAATGACATAGCAGGTAAGTAGAGAATAGTCTAATCTAGTGAAATTACCTTAAACAAAGGGCATCCAATTCGGATGTCCAATCCAAGTGATGCACTGACCAGTTTGGTCGGTATGCGCATATGTAGGGAACGTACCAGGTAGAGTTGAAACGCTCAAACCCCCAGCCCACACAACAGTACTCCACGGAGAAGACTCGTCCTTGGCGTGCACCCCACACACAGCACGCCGTCACCGCACCAGCCGTGCAGAAGGGCACGGCACCTACTGCTGCACATCATCGTCCCCGTCGCCGACATCGGCCAGATGCACTTGGCAGATGGCGACAGATCACCGGATGAAAGCCGGAAGAATGCAGCGCCTTCGTCAGGAAGTCTGCCGGCTGCTCGGTGGTCGGGATGTATTTCAGCACGAACTTCCCGCGCCTCACCATGTGCTACACCCAAGCGTAGCGTCGCTCCATGTGCTTGAGGTTGCGCGTCAGCCCCAAGCTCCCAGCGATCGTGATTGCCGACTTGTTGTCCACACGAAGGACAGTCGGCTTCCCAGCGTCGAGCTGCTGAGACTCCGCAAGGAAGTGGAGTTGGCGTCCCTCCTTGCCTGCATCCGTGGCCACCACGTACTCCGACTTGGTCGATGACACCGTCGCGCACTTGATGCGCGAGCTCGACCAGGAGACAGCGGCCCTCTGTAGATGAACACGTAGCCGCATGTGCTCGTCCGGTTCTGCATGTCACCCGCGTCGTTGGCGTCCACGTAGCCGATCAGCTCCAGCGACTCTTGTCCACCGCCGAACTCCAGGGCGGTGTCGCGGGTGTTAGCGAGGTTAGTGAGGCAGCGGTCGACCTCACGCCAGTGCTGGTCGCTCCTCACCGTGAGGCCGCTCCCCAGCTTGCTGCAGGCGAAGGCAATGTCCGGCCTCGTCGTCGTCGCCGCGAACTACAGCGAGCCAACCTTCTGCCGGTACTCCTCCTCTTCGCACTCTTGCGCCTCCTCGTTGTCGAATGTCAGCTCGGCGTAGGCGTCGACCGAGACCGGCGTCTTCGAAATGCGCCCGGTCTACTCCTCGTCGATGAAGCACATGCGCAGCTTGTCGGCTTAGTTCTGCTAGTGCAGCCACAGCTTCCTCGCTGGCCTGTCGCGTACGATCTCCAGCCCAAGGTACTTTACGACCGGCGAGATCTCGCGTTGCTCAAAGGCGGCCTCCAACAGCTCCTTCAGCTCCTTCAGCATCGCGGTGCTGCTGCTGGCGGCGAGCAGGTCCTCGAGGTAGACCAGCACCCAGCATTTCACTCCGTCGTCGCCGGCCTTGACGTAGAGCGCCGTGTCGACCTAGCTCTTCTTCCAACCAGCGCCCAGCAGCACACCGTCAAGAGCCCTGTACCACAGCAGCGGCGACTGCTTCAGCCCGTAGAGGCTCTTCAGCAGCTTACACACCCGGCCGGTCCCATCGTCGAAGTAGTCCGGCTGGTACATGTACAGCACCCGGTCGAGCTTGCTCTGCAGGAAAGCATTCTTCATGTCTAGCTGCATCAGGTTGAGGTCGAGGACGACGACGATGCTGAGGAAGGTCCTCAGCGTGACGTAGCTGCTCACCGGCGAGTACGTCTCGTCGTAGTTGGCGCCGTACACATGCGTGAAGCCCTTCACGACCAGCCTCGCCTTCTCGCGCTCGACGGTGTCGTCGATGTGGTACTTGGTCGTTAGCACCCACCGGTTCTTCATGATGTTCACCCCGCGTGGGCGTTCGACTAGCTCCCATGTGCCCATGCTGTTGAGGCTGCGGATCTCCTCATCCATGGCGGCCTTCACCGCCTCACCCTTCCAGCTCGCCAGCACCTCCTTGTTGCGCTACTTGTGTAGTACATCGGGCATGGGGCTTGTGCTTGGAGGACGGGGTCCAGTTGTCCTCACAGGACACGAAGACGCGTCTTGGGTTGACGACTTGGCTACGCAGCGATCGTCACAGGGTTACACTTTCAGCCTTGGCTCCGGCTCTGTTTCTTGGCGGTCTACCCGCTCATCTTCTGTTCTCAGTTCCATTTGTGAGGCTGACATCTACACAGGGGCCATGGTTGCACAGGAGTTACGCTGGCTCACCTACCTGCTGAGCGACTTGGGAGAGTGGCCTCGTTCTCCTCCAGTGCTGTACGTAGACAACAAGGCCATGATTGCCTTGTGTCAGGAGCACAAACTAGAGCACAGGACGAAGCACATTACTCTGCGTTACTTCCTTTCTCGAGAGTTGCAGCAGCGTGGTCAACTTCGTCTTGCTTACGTGGCCACTCGGGCCAACACTGCTGATATATTCACCAAGGCACTTCAGCCTGGTGATCATCAGCGTTTCTGTATTGTTCTAGGCCTTGTGCCTACTTTGCCTCACTTGCTCACTGCGTGACTTTGCTTGTACTGTGATATATATATACATAAATATATGTATACCTGCATGCTTACCCCTGCTTGTTATGATCACTGTACCGTTTGTTCTCGTTTATATAATTCTGCATGTGAACTGGCCTTGTGGCCATTTGCTTGTGCTCAGAGTGTGTGGTGATTTTGTGATCCACCCTGAGCTTGCTTTGTTTTTTCTTGACTGGTCTTGTGACCCCCTGTTCTCCCCCACTTGGCCTATGGGGGTGTGTCAAACTGTTATAATGTTTATATTGTGTAGGCTGTAGTGGGGTAGCCCATAAGGGGTACAACATTATTAGGGTTAGCACTTGTACAAACTTCCTTCTCAATGCAATCATTCTCGTTCAGTATCAGGCCCTCATATTTGTTTTTGGCCTGTCTGATTCGTCAGTCTTAGGACGTAGTTTTAGGCTGATTGATCAGTGTACTGCCACCAGAAAAGGCTGAACAATCCGAGTTACATTTTTTTTTAGGCTGGTTGTGTTGTTAACTGGTATTATATGTGGATCTTGGTCTAGGCCCTTTTTTCCTGCAACATAGTCAATATATAGAACCTTCAATAATCTAAGCACAACATTTCAAGCAATCTCATCATCAGCATCATCATCACTAGCATCAAATACATCATCTAAGTCCACCATGTCTATATCTGCTGATTGCTCCTTTCCCTTCCTTCTCTGCTGTTGTCCTACAAAGATAGAGGCATTGTTGTGGGGCTTGCGTTTCTTGTAGCTCCTCCAAATGTCAACAATCTCATCCCAGTTTGGCTCGTAGCTCATTAGGCTCATGCACATGAGGTCGCCCAGCCTTGCATCCTTCAGTGAACCCCGCTGCCATGACTTGATTATGTTCTGCCTGGAGAAGCCGCGCTCGCACTCAACAGTGCTGAGCGGGAGAACTGCAATGGCCACCCACAGCTGCACCAGGTTGGGGTAATTATCCCGCCAGTCTGGTGTCTTCAGCATAGCTGTGAGGCCATCATGGAAACTTTGCTCGGTCTTGTGGGCTGATGCAAGCACGGATGTGAACATCCGCAGCTCCTTCACAGCGCGGCGCTTGTTGATACCTGCCGGGGGGGGGGAGGGGAGGGGGGCAGGGGATTAGTATATGATATTAATTGGAGTACGGTCACGGACGTATATAAAGAGGGAGAAGAGGATAACACCGTGCAATCAATTACGTCATCAGTGCATGGACGCTAGTTACATCATTAACTGGCTTACCTGGCAAGATGTCGTCGTTCATCTCAGCCTTGAACAGTGTGATCAAGGACTCCAGCCACTCGACACACCGCGCGTGACGCTCGCCACGGTCCAGAGGCCAAGCGTCAGGCGTGAACAGTCTCGACCCTGACAGCGACTCCAAGTCGCCTAACCTTCCGTGGATGTTCCTGACGATCATCTCTGCGAACGCCGTGCAGACGTCGACGCATCCGTCGTGAGTTCCACGCCCGCCGAACTCCTCCATTGGGTCCTCGTGAAGCACGAACGAGAACTCCGTCGGCCTTCCGTCCGAGTCGATGCCGGCAACTGTCATCTCCCTCGTCCCTCCCGGCCCATGTTGCGTCAGGAATGGAGAGAGCCGCTCGCTCATGCCTCCACCGAAGTCGTCCCCACAGTCGACGTAGCGGCTCTCGATGTGGAAGGTAGTTTGCTTGATCTGTGCATGGAGAGAAGCATAATCAAGCTGGAGATACGGGATATAGATGGCACAGAGGGGCAGAGGAACAGAGTTAGTAGAGAACACTCACAGCAGAGACCCTAAACCGAAGTAACAACAGATTGTAAAGCATCTTTACCTCCTTGTGCTGGAACGCGCGGTTGAGGATGTTGAGCTGCTCAAGCACGTCGGCGATGAAATTCAAGAGGAAATGGAAACGGTAGCTCGACACAATGGCAAACATTTTCTTGTCATACTCCTTGAGCATGACAATGACGGCTGGCAAGATGGCTAGAAACCGAAGGACGGCGTCTCCCCGCGAAAGCCACCGCACGGCATGTATGCCCTGCAGCTCAAGGGACGTCGACGTGAACACCTCCTGGAGGTCGAGGAAGCGCTGGTGCCAGGGCCCCGAACGCCCGAGATGCTCTGCCACGTTCCGGATGACCTTGTCAACAATCTTGAAGTCTGGGATATCTTCAGAAGCGTCCTTCGCAGCAAGGGCCTCTCTGTACATGCACACAAAAACAGTGTTGTTAGAAAACAAGTCATTAGAAACATCTTTAAGAAACAACAATAAAAAAGACATTACCTGTGAGCGATGCTGTGTGTGGTCACCAGGTGAGGTATGCGCAGACGGAGGCGCGTCATAAGCCCCGACTTGCAGCCCATCATGACATTCGCCCTATCGGTACTGATCCCAGCAATCCGGCGGAGATCAATGCCGACGGCCTGTACATGCGACAGCAAGAGGCTCAGCAACAATGCCGCATCTGCCTTCTCCACGGTCAGGAGTGCCATGAACTCGGTGACCACGCTGTCGTCTCGAATGAAAGTGACGTAGAGAATTAGATGCTTCCCGCTGCAGCGGTCGGTGCTTTCGTCAACGGAGATCCCGACGAAGGGGCTGGCCAGCACTTGCGCGATCTGGGTCGTTTGCAGCCAGGTTGCCGTCGCTTGTGTAAGCTCCCCGAAACCGTACCTAGATAACAAGGCAACAACATGATCAGTAAAGGTCACGCATGGTGAATTAAAAAACAAAAACAAGATCCCAGGTTTGTGCGACTAAAACGAAGAGCTTACGTGGTGTAGTACGTCCCGTAACCCTTCTTGGGGAAGCCCTTCACACCCTTCTCCGCCAGGTAGCGCACCAGTTTCACCCACAGTCCCATGGGCGCGTCACACTTGCTGACGAACAGCAAGGAGTCTAGCAGGGCGATGACGCGCAGCTTATCCTCGTCGCATGCCGCCCTGTGTTGATCGATGCGTGGTTGCCTGCTGCCGCCGTCCACAAGCGCGGTGTATTTCGCCATCGCCAGCTTGTGCTTTTGAGTTCCTGTGTGCTTTCGAAAGGCTTGAGTCTGAACGTCCGTGGCCTCCTTGCCGCGCCTCCCGCACTTGCCTGCATCACCAGCGTGGGCTGCACAAACACTACATTTAAAGGCAGGCAAACCAGCCGCGGTTTTAGTTAGAACCAGCCAAGGAAACCGACTCGATCACATCGCAAGCCACTTCTCGTACGCATCCTCATACACATCATCAATGAGCTGAGCGAGGTTGGGTTTCCACCGCGGCTTTTCCAGGTTAGACGGCCTAGCCCGGTTGTTGTCGCCATCAGTGGTTGCAGAAGACTTCCCGAAGCTGAGCGTTGCTTGCTTCAGGCGGATGTTGCGTGCCACAGCCTTAGGAGTGGGGGTCACTATGTTGTTGTGTGGAGCAGACCCAACAGTAGGCTCGAGGGGTGTAGCATCGATAGAATCAGCCTCGCTCAAGTCGACGGATGGAGGGTTGTCTGGGGTTGACTTAGCAACAGGTGGGGAACGGGGCCCCTTATCGCGAGCTAGAGACCTAAGCAGTAGATCTAACCCTGTTCTAGCATCTTCGAGCGCGGTTTCACAATTGTCGTCCTCGTCATCGGCCACGAGGCCCTCCTGAACAGCCATAACGTTCGCCTGGGAGCGTGCCGAGCAGAAATGAGGAAGCCCAGACACTCACGCAGAAAGTGATGGAAGAGGCTTGGTACGGGGTGCATGAAAGCGATGGAGATGATGGCCCCTTTGAAAATCAAGAAACCCCAACCTGTGGGTGCCCCTTTGCCTACCATGCACGGCATCTACGAGGCGCAGCTAGCGCTGCGCTGGTGTGTGCAGTGTCGTGTTGCTGTCGAGGCTGTACTGAACGTTCAGGTTCAGGAAGAGGGTTGAGTGCGCTGTCGAAAGCTGCCTTCTCAACCAATTGGCAACTCACGTCTGTGTGACCTGTTGCCAACGGGGAACGGACCGCGCCGCACCACGTCGCTGCCCACCGAATATTGGCTGTATTCGCTGTACTGGCGGGCTTGACAGAACGATAATATAAATGGAGCGGCGATCACGGCAATCCCCGCAAATCTCGGGTTCTCGAATTCAGCGTAGGTTCACGTTTCTAGTCTGACGCATCAGAGTACAGTGCAAAAAAAAAAAAGTTGAAAAAAAACCTCCCCTTATAAAAAAAACCTGAACATTTAGAGTTTACAACAAAAAAAAACCCTGAACTTTCAGCAGTACAACAAAAAGAAGGCTGGAAAATAAGAGTTTTTAAGGCAAATCAGCGAAATTTGGCTGACTTCTGGGGGCTTGTTCAGTATTCTGACAGCTCACACTTATATTGTGTAACAGACGGTGGGTGAGGAGACACATAAGAAACCCTCACAAACAAGTGACAGTGGTGAGGCACCTGCACGCTGCATCTACGCACGTACAGTAATTGTCAGAATCCCAACCACTAGACCATTGGGATAAAATGACTTGTTAAGTAGTGGGTCAGTGTGCCCATAACCCCCCAGGACAACGAGCCTGTAACCCTTCCCTATGATCAATCGGGGATCACCAGTGGACCTCTGACACCCCCCCGCACTGGGATGCCGGAAGTGCACACACTGGGATGTCGGCACTGTATCGAACCGCAACAGAAAAAACAGTTAAAATAGAACTTTCAATATTCCTTTGTAATCATATAAAAGCCTTGTACTTCTCTGCTATTATCAACTTATCTTGTTCTCACACACTAGTACAAGGTGGTTCACGACAACTCTTCATTAACCGCTTCCGCTATTACATCTCTATATCAATACTCGATCTTAGTCCTGAAAGTTCCTAAGGGCTTTTCTCAGCCCAACATGGTATGAGAGCAAGGCAGGACAAGATCACCTTTTAATTCTTACAATACAAGTCATGGCTACACAAAAGGAGAGGAGCTCCTCCAACGGATCTCTCGGCACCACCCCTACTCCACCTCCAGTCTCCCGCCTACAGACAGAAGAAGGCACAAGACCAGCTGCAGAGTCAACGGAAATCCCCGGAAATCAAACAACAGGCTTCGACTCAAACATGATGGAGAAATTTTTCTCCTTCATGTCCTTCTATGAGCAAACACCAGCAAGCAGCAACAAACAGCAGCAACAACAACAGAGCAACACCAATGAGTCTTGATGGTTCATCGTACGTGCGCGGAAATCAACAACAACCTACCTTTGCTCCGTATGAGCCTCAACGCGGCTCTGTCAGTTTCGCGCCACTGCCGCAGTCTTCACCTGGACAAGAGAAGACACTGGATGCGCTTCAGGTGCAATCGCAATTCGCACACGTTCTCAAATTACAAACATCAACGCTTTTCGACGGGAAGGATTTTTACACCTGGTCCTTCGAGTTTGAAATGATGATGGAGGGCGCGCAAATCCTCGGATTCTTCGACGGGTCCCTGCCATATCCAGTACACAGGACACAGTACGACAAGCAGCAATACACGTATCAGTCGCTGATGGCGTATACGATACTCCTTCGAAACTTGACACCAAACGAGCAACAGAACATTCGTTCTTATCGAGGATACGGCAACTCCGCCGAGCTGGCATACGACCACCTGAAGAGCCTGTATCAAGCTACAGACAGCGTTAACCAAAATCGTCTCATGGCACAGTTGAGAACAGTGGAAATGAAACCCGGAGAAAAGGGAATGGCTTATATTAGCCGTTGTCGCGGACTGCGCGACAGACTCCTTCGATGCGGAGGGTCAATTTCGGAAGAAGCATTTGTAACAGTCATCATCGCCGGCCTTGGTCCTCATTGGCGCTCCACTCGAGCACTTCTTCGAGCTCGCGGGAAAATATCCGAAGCAGCACTCTGCGCCGAAATCCACGCTGAACAGCAAGACATGGACCTGCACGAAGAACGACACAAGAAGAAAACATTAGCACCGGAGTTCGCCTTCCATACTCAACGACGCTACAACAACAACAACAACAACAACAACAACAACAACCGACACAATAATCGACAAGTACAACAGTACGTCCCACCGTTTTGTCACCTTTGCAAGACGTCCGGTCATCCACGCACACATTGCCCGAATCAGCAGCAGTCGACAACACCGCAACGTCAACTTTGGCCTTCAAGCTGTCAGAACATTATAGCTTATGCTGTTGTGTAGGCTATAGTGGGGTATTCCATAGGGGGTACAACCAATTAGGGCTTCATATTTGTACTCACTTCATTTCATAGTTCATCCATTCTTGTTCAAATCTTCTCATGGTATCGAGCAGGTTCCCCCTTGGGAACTGTGCTTAGGGCCCACCACATCGATTTTTTTTTCCTGCCCGAAGCGCGCTCAGCCCGAGTCGCGCTCCGGGCCCTCACTTCGTCGAGCCGCCCTAGCGGCCCTGCACTGCGGCCCCGCCACCCGTCTCCGCGGCCCCGCCGCCCTACCTAGCGGCCCCGCCGCCTCTCTCCTAGCGGCCCCGCCGCCCTACCTCGCGGCCTCGCCGCCCCATTGCGCGGCCCCGCCGCCCTACCTAGCGGCCCCGCCGCCCCATCGCGGCCCCGCCGCCCCATCGCGCGGCCCCGCCGCCCTACCTAGCGGCCCCGCCGCCCTACCTAGCGGCCCCGCCGCCCCATCGCGCGGCCCCGCCGCCCCATCGCGCGGCCCCGCCGCCCCATCGCGCGGCCCCGCCGCCCTTCCTCGCGGCCCCGCCGCCCCATCGCGCGGCCCCGCCGCCCTACCTAGCGGTCCCGCCGCCCTTCCTCGCGGCCCCGCCACCTTACCTGCGGCCCCGCCACCTTACCTGCGGCCCCGCCATTACCTGCGGCCCCGCCGCCCTCTGCTGCGGCCCCGCCACCTTACCTGCGGCCCTGCCGCCCTTACCTGCGGCCCCGTCACCTGCTGCCCAGCCGTGCCGCCCTGCAGCAGCACAGCCGAGCCGCCCAGCAGCCGAGCCGCCGAGCCGCCCAGCAGCCGAGCCGCCCAGCAGCCGAGCCGCCGAGCCGCCCAGCAGCCGAGCTGCCCAGCAGCCGAGCCGCCCAGCAGCCGAGCCGCTCAGCGGCCGCGCCGCCCAGCAGCCGAGCCGCCCAGCAGCCGAGCCGCCCAGCAGCGGAGCCGCCGAGCCGCCGGGCCGCCCAGCAGCTGAGCCGCCGAGCCGCCGCGCCGCCCTCCTTCAGGGCCGCCCGACCTGCCCAGTCTGGTGAGCACAGCGCCTTTTCACTGCACTGTCCTCACCCTACTGTTTGCGCTGCTAGTCGTCTAGGGTCATGGCTACCCCTAGTGTTCTCGCCTTTGACGCTGAGGGTAGGGCCATTGACTTTGAGGTCTGGGTAGATGACCTGCAGCTGTTCTTACAGTGCGATAGGGCAGACGGCCTCTCTCTCTTTGACCTCACCTCTGGCACCTCCACTGCCCCTGCTGCTGATGCTGACGCCACTGATCGCTCCCAGTGGGCCACGCGCGACGCTGCTGCACGTCTTGCTGTGCGTCGCCACCTCCCTACCTCCGAGCGTGCGCACTTTAGTCAGTACAAGAGTGCTCAGACCTTGTACGACGCTGTAGTTGCGCGCTACTCCTCCCCTGCCACTGCTGCACTGAGCCGTCTCATACTACCGTACCTCTTTCCTGATCTTGCTGCCTTTCCCACAGTCACTGACCTCATTACGCACCTCCGCACTAGTGACACTCGCTACCGCGCTGCACTCCCTCCTGACTTCTGCGCCAGGAACCCCCCCCCCATGTACATCACTCTTTACTACATAGTCACTCGCCTTCCTGACTCCCTTCGCGTAGTCAGGGACCACTTTCTCTCTGTCTGTCCCACCACTCTCACTGTTGACCTCCTCGAGAAGTCCCTCCTAGCGGCCGAGAAGAGCATAGTCGCTGTAGGGGCCTCTCGTGGTGACCCGCGCACCCCCATCTTTGAGGGGTGTTCCCCCTCCCCCCTTCTGCCCTCTGTTGCCTCTGCTGCTGCGGCCGACCTCCTTGTTCTTGAGTCGGTCGGTGCGGCGTCTGCCCC